CTCCTCACCTTCCTCCATCTCCTCCTCATACTCCACCTCCTCCTCCCAGCAGAACAGCCTCTGGAAGTATCCTCGGACCCCCATGGTGACGTCATCGTTAGTGGCTGCAGTGGAACCTGAAGGGAGAGAAAGATGGCCATTCCTCCCGTCATTCATCCTCTGCCTCTTCCCACTAACCTGCTCGGAGCAGCAGGCCTCCCTGCTCCTCTTTCTGGAGCGGAGGCCCGATGTTCGGGAAGCAGCGGCAGCCCCAGCCGGCGCCCCAGCAGGACCAGGACGGGCCTCAGGATCAGGCGGTGAAAAGCGGACTGGGCGTCGTGGGCCATCTGATGGGAAATCAAATCCAGTTGAGATGAGAACATTGATCATGAGACGAGAACAATCAGCTACAATCATCAGTGAAGTGACGATCATTTACAATCTGAAGCTGCAGGAGCAAAACCTCTGATGTGTTACTGAACCATCTCTGCTCCTCGATGCACCACCACAATTATTACATCATTTCATATGTTCTTCACATTTTAATGGATATTTGAAACTGTTCAATTAGCAAGGGAAGGTTTTAGACAACAAGAGCAAATGTTTACACACAAACAGCTCATTAACACCCAACATGTGTACAAACCGGATTCCAAAAAAGTTGGGACACTAAACAAATTGTGAATAAAAACTGAATGCAATGATGTGGAGGTGCCAACATCTAATATTTTATTCAGAATAGAACAGTTTCCAAAAAAGTTTCCAAATTTCATGGTGTCAACAAATCCCAAAAAAGTTGGGACAAGTCCATTTTTACCACAGTGTGGCATCCCCCCTTCTTCTTACAACACTCAACAGACGTCTGGGGACAGAGGAGACCAGTTTCTCAAGTTTATAAATAGGAATGCTCTCCCATTCATGTCTAATACAGGCCTCTAACTGTTCAATCGTCTTGGGCCTTCTTTGTCACACCTTCCTCTTTAAGATGCGCCAAATGTTCTCTATAGGTGAAAGATCTGGACTGCAGGCTGGCCATTTCAGTACCCGGATCCTTCTCCTATGTAGCCATGATGTTGTGATTGCTGCAGAATGTGGTCTGGCATTATGGTGTTGAAAAATGCAGGGTCTTCCCTGAAAGAGATGACGTCTAGATGGGAGCATATGTTGTTCTAGAACCTGAACATAGTTCTCTGCATTAATGGTGCCTTTCCAGACATGCAAGCTGCCCATGCCACAAGCACTCATGCAACCCCATACCATCAGTGATGCAGGCTTCTGAACGGAGCGTTGATAACAACTTGGGCTATCCTTGTCCTCTCTGGTCTGGATGACATGGCGTCCCAGTGTTCCATAAAGAACTTCAAATCGTGACTCATCTGACCACAGAACAGTCTTCCATTTTGCCACACTCCATTTTAAATGACCCCTGGCCCAGTGCAAACGTCTGAGCTTGTGGAGCTTGCTTAGAAATGGCTTCTTCTTTGCACTGTAGAGTTTCAGCTGGCAACGGCGGATGGCACGGTGGATTGTGTTCACTGACAATGCTTTCTGGAAGTATTCCTGAGCCCATTCTGTTATTTCCTTGACAGTGACATTCCTGTTTGAGGTGCAGTGACGTTTAAGGGCCCGGAGATCACGAGCATCCAGTAGAGTTTTACGGCCTTGACCCTTACGCACAGCGATTGTTCCAGATTCTCTGAATCTTTTGATGATGTTATGCACGGTTGATGATGATAACTTAAAAGTATTTGCTATTTTACGCTGGGTAACACCATTCTGGTATTGCTGCACTATCTTTCTGCACAACAATGGTGGAATTGGTGATCCTCTTACCATCTTGGCTTCTGAGAGACACTGACACTTTGAGAAGTTCTTTTTATACCCAATCATGTTGTCAATTGACCTAATTAGTGTTAATTGGTCTTCCAGCTGTTCGTTATATGCTCAATTTCCTTTTTCCAGCCATTTATTGCTACTTGTCCCAACTTTTTTGGGATTTGTTGACACTGTGAAATTTTGAATCAACATATTTTTCCTTTAAAATGTTACATTTACTCAGATTAAACTTTTGATCTGTCATCTATGTTATATTACGAATAAAATATTGACATTTGCCATCTCCACATCATTGCATTCAGTTTTTATTCACAATTTGTTTAGCGTCCCAACCTTTTTGGAATCCGGGTTGTACAACACACTATCATTTTCTAAAGTTTTGGGTGAAGTTGGTAAAGCAAGCAGTAATAAATAAATGTACCTTAAGTTCTGTTCACAAAACTATGGCAAACATTTGTTGAAACAATTACAGTAATTGTTTACCCATCCCCTTTCATTTAGATATAAACGCATTGCATGTTTTAAAATGAAATGTGTATCAATTTAAAAACATTTTCAAGCTAAAATATTCAAGTACATAATGTGCGCACTGGACATGTTCATTGCAAACTGTGAAGGGCTCACAAACACTTTGTTTCATTTTTCTGCAGAGCTGGGTGACAATATGACCCAGCATTGTTTGTCCATCTAGTCATCCGCCAGCTTCGCACCTACTGGACTTTCTGGATCGCCTTCTGTCCACTTTAGCGTCTGGTCCGTTCAGTTGGCGGCTGCTGCCTCTGCACAGCTGCAGAGGGTAAGCAGCTCCGCGGCGGGACCATCCCGCAGCTGGCCTCCAGCTAGCTAGTTAGCGAGCTAAGTCGTTGGGAGCTGCATGTGTTCAAAGCGCTCCGTGAAATGTCACGCGTTTTTTTTGCGGTCACGTAAAAACGTAGGGATTTTTTTCGACATTGCTTGTTTGAAATGTCATTATTATGAAACTTAAACCACAAGGTTAAGTTTTAATCGAGTAGTTAGCAGAGTCGAAGCAGTATCAAGTTGGAAAAGATTGTTTTAGCAGCGTTTCCGGTGATTTTCAAAATAATTGTGCTCCGTGCGGACGTACTTGTTTTACAAGTGTAACAGACCAAGTTTAGGAGATTCAGTCATTTATTTACACACGTGTGGTGTAAGTGTGTTATTATAATCATTGTTATCGATATACTGAAGCCTAAATAACGCATTATGGCGCGTTGTGAATTTTATTTTGAAGACCGGATGCGTAGTTTTCTTCTTCTGCTGCTAAAATCTCAAACTGTCTGGAGCCACTCTTGATGAGAGGTTGTTCAGCCCGAGTTCAAGTCGTTAGCTTTAGCCAACACACACACACAGCCTCCTGGAGCGAGTCATCTGCTGTTGACTGTGTGCCAGCATGCTAATGGGAACAGTTTAACCGCAGCACACTGCAGTCACTGAGCCTCCTGTCCGACTCCGAGCAGGTCCAGCCGAGCTGAGCTCCGCCGAAGCCATGCGACAGTGGTGTGTCCCCGCTGCGACCCCGCGGGCTGAGCCCCTCCCGGGGCGCCTGTCCGTGTCCCCCCCTTCATCAGGTGAGCAAACAAAACGGGTCGGTGGCCAACCTTATTTTAAGACACAACCAGAATACTCTTTTGGTTCGGAATGCTTTACATTTACAGAGAGAGAACAGTTGTAGCATGTAATAAATAGGCTGACTTGTTACACTCTCAAAACGTCTAATTTAACACCGAGACCCCCTGAACATCTAACAGGACAGCTAACAAAACTGGACTTGCTGTGTTTTAACACTTTGATGTATTTAGGTAAATTCGGCATGCCACTTTTATCTCAAATCAACTTTCTGAAAACAGCAGGTGTCTGCCTTTTGCAGCTAACTTCTAATTTTAGTGGAGGTCCTCAAAGTAAACAAACATGTGAAGAATGGGTTCTGCAGCTATTCTCAAGGTAGTGATGCATTTACTTAAAAAAAATAAACTATTGTGATTTCCCATCCTGAAGCAGTAAAAGTTACAACACTCACATTTCTTGAAGGAATGCATATCACCCGCTGCTTTTCATTGCACAGATTTAAAACTAAACTAGTGAGACGGAATAGAGTTAGAGCCATTTTGGACACACCTTGTAAATTATGTTCTGCAGGATAGCATACCGTTTAGCAAGATATGGTCAGATGTGACGTCTCTCAGAGAATGTGTTCAGGATGACTCTCAGCTACTGACTCCAGAAGTTAATTACCGGTAGCTCCATTCATCGACTTATTCTGGAGTCATGTTGTGGGGCAGCAGCTTGAGCTGGGAGGCCACACGTCTCTTTCTACATCCACCTCTTCCAGCTCTTCTGAAAGGGCTTCAAGGTGTTCCCAGGCCAGCCGAGAGTCGGTTCAGCGTGTCCCGAGTCTTTCCCGGGGTCTCCTTCTAATTGGACATGCTCCTCCACACCTCCAGCAGCGGCTCTGTTGAGTCTCACCTGGATAAGTGAACACCCTATCCTGTCTCTAAGGGAGAGTTCAGCTACCGTGCTGGCAAAACTCATTTCAGCGTGTCCACAATCTTGTTTTTTCAGTGAAAGCTTGACCATAAACGAGGGTAGGATTGTAATTCAACAGGTAAACAATTAAGTTGTTGTTGATTGATTGATTGATTGATTTTTATTGTCAATTCTGCATATGTACAGGACATACATAGAAATTGAAATTGCGTTACACTCCTCAAATTGCAGCAAACAACAACATTAGCAAAAATAAACTAACACAACTAGTTATATAAAAAAAAAAAAATATATAAAAAAAATATAAAAGTGAACAGCAGCAGGACCTCTGATGCAACGTGCTCAATAGTGACTAACAGGAGACAAAGGGACGCTGACTGAAGACAATAACATGATGAGAGGTAGATAATGGATGTGCAAGGCCAGAGTAAACAATAGTGCAATATAAAGTATAAACCTGAGAAACTTAGTAAAGTGAAGGTGTGCATACCGGTTCTATATAGAGTCACAGTTATGTACTGATGAGGTGATTAAGTGGAAATGACAATACCAGAATTACCAGAATAAAGAATAAACAGGACGAGTTGATCATAACAGTAGTGCAAAATATAATGCAATAAACAGTAGAGTGAGCTTGTAGGCTGTTAAAGTGACTGATTCATGAACTATTCATAAAACTAAATAAATGTCCCAGAGCAGTTTTGAAGGGGGGGGGGTGAGGGGGGGGGTCAGGAAGCTGAGTTAGTGTGTGCAGGGTGGCAGAAGTGGGAGAGGGGGCTGAGGGGGGGCAGGCAGAGAGTTCAGCATCCTCACGGCCTGATGGACGGAGCTGTTCCACAGTCTGCTGGTCCTAGAACTGAGGCTACGCAGTCTCCGCCCTAATGGCAGCAGGTTGAAGAAGCAGTGTAGCGGGTGGTCAAGATCTCCCACCCAGCAGAGGGCTTTACTTCTGAGGCGAGAGCTGTGGAGGTCCTGAAGGCAGGGGAGAGAGGTGCCAATGATCTTCTCAGCTGTCCTCACGATCCGCTGGAGGGATTTGCGGCAGGATGCTGTGCAGGCCCCGTACCACACAGTGGAGCAGCTCATCAGGATGCTCTCGATGGCCCCCCTGTAGAAGGTTGTCATGATGGGGGTGGGGGCTCTCGCTCTTCTCAGCTTGCGGAGGAAGTAGAGCCGTTGGTGAGCCTTTTTGGCCACTGCTGCTGTGTTGATGGTCCAGGAGAGGTCCTCAGAGATGTGCACACCCAGGAACTTGGTGCGGCTTGTTGTGGCTGTATATCCATGAATACTTACCGAGAGCTCCATTAAAATGTGTTCAGTGATTTTGTGAGATATTTAAGCACACTGACGTGAGCAAATACACCTGTCACCTTTGATGGCGGGCGATAATAATACATAGTTTATGCTGAACGGATCGTCTGTTAAGTTATGCACGCGGAGGTGATCTTACTTTAATTCCACTCTGGATAAATTGACCAAGGTTAGCCTTAAGAGTCTGTGCCAAGTGTTTGAAAGGTTGCCAGAACTTCCAATGACCCACAAGTTCTCCGGGGGGGATTGCAGTCTGTCTCTCCTGAGTGCAGTTCTATAAACAGGCTTGTGTACTCAGAGTTATTGGGTATTAATTAAATATTTTTGTCTGATTTGCTTTCAAAGGATGTAAGATCTGGAACGAACGCGGCGTATTAAAATTCATATGGTTGCATCTTATTTGTTTAATCTATTAATAATTCTTTGATGGGATAAATTTAGCTGCATCGTTCTAGGTTGGCACTTTATCAAGTCTTGTGTTGCAAATTATCTAGTGGTGGAAACAAAACAAGGCAGAAGTGCAGATGTTGTGTTCCACGCAGTTTACTGGTCTCAGGTGTGTCTTGACAAAGTGTGCACCCCGTCCACGTTGTGTCTGCAGAGGCTAGAGCGGAGTGCTGCGAGGTGGAGCCGCGCTACACCATCGAGCAGATCGACCTCCTGCAGCGCCTGCGTCTCTCCGGCATGACCAAACCACAGATCATTCATGCCCTGGAGTCCCTGGAGAGGCTGGACCCAGACCACCGCCCGTCGCACTGTGACCCCAACCTCGCCCCCGCCACGACCGCTCCGGCCCCGTCTTCGTCCTCGTCGTCTTCCTTCTCCTCGCTCTCCCTGGCCTCTGCCACCACGCAGACCTCCGGCTTGGACGGCGCCGCACTGTCTCCCAGCAACAGCTACGAGGCCTCGCCCCCACCCCTCTGCCCGCCCACGGTGGCGGTTCAGCGGTCGTTCAGCTACGACGTGATGGGGGACGAGGACTGGGACCTGGAGGAAAAAGTGGAGGAGTATATGAGGTGGGGAAAATGGTCCTAAGAGCTTGTTGGGCTGGAAAATCAGAGCAACAGAAAAGTAGAAAGGATGAGAGACTTTTCTAACTTCATATTTTGACAGCTAATGTCCCCAAAGGTGCAGTCTTATCCTCCAGAATTGTACTGGAGTTAATTCAGGTCAGGTGTTTAGGGAAAGCTAGAAAATTCATTGAATAAGGTTAGTGCGAGCCTAGGCTGCTCTTTTAACCACAGCGTAATGGTTCTTGTTTCTTTCACAGGAGAGACAGCAACCTGGTGAAGGAGGAGATCAAAACTTTCCTCAACAACCGCAGGATCTCTCAGGCCATCGTGGGCCAAGTCACAGGTACCCTGCTTTCTCTGTGCTGTTTACCAAGTGCCTTTAAAGTAACGCACCTACACAGAATACTTCAGATGAATGGCATTAAGTGAGGGGAGCAATTCTTTTATTCAGCTGCCCAAAATCATTACTTTGTACAGCCACACTGTTGCTGCAGTTCCAGCTGCAGGGTTCACAGAGGAGAGGCCGCAACACCAACAATGGTGGAGGTCAGCACTTCTAGTCGAGCTTGAGCTTAATCCCGTCTCCACACGTAATCTCTAAAACTCAGTCAGAGCGAGCAACTGATTCTTGAAGACCCTTCTCCGTCGATCACTCCGTGACGCTGTCCAGCAAGCTCCTGGAATAGTCCTGCTTGTGCGGATCTACCGTATTTTCCGCCGTACCCGTTGCTTCACCCTGTAAGTGGCATCAGTCCAAACATGTCTAATAAAGTGGAAAAATCCATAAATATGTCGCTTCGCTGTGTACACTACTATGTAGACTAGACGTTGTTAAGGGTTTATACCTAACGTTTTTATTTCAGCAGCATGGTGGAACTGAATGATTTAATGCTTTTGTTAAATAAGACTTTGCTTTTCTAAATGGATTTTCTTTATTTCACGTTTTTTCTGTTTGGAGTTGATTTGGTTGACTTCTCTGCAGGTTAGGGATGAGTTGAGAATTATTATTATACTTTTAAAAAGATGGGAAGGTAAAAATGTGTTTTCTCAGTGAGTTTTAGCGTCAGTGATCATTTAAAATGTCAGAGATGTCTGTTTTTACAGAGGCTCATAGTCGACTACCACAGATATTAGATGCTACAGTGATGCAGGAAATGTTTTATTACAGCCAGACGAAAGGTGTGTTTGTTTGACTGTTTTAGCAAAATATCTCGAGAACCACTGGACAAATGTTAATGCAACTTTTATAAAGTAATCATGAGATGTACATCTACAACTAATTAACTTTTTGGATCAGTTTAAATTCAAGCTTGCCACTACCGCCTTCTGACCTTTTAAAAAACAAGTTTTATACATATATAAGCCGCGAGTGTTCACTTTGTAACGTGAGAGGCAGCACACAGCTACTGAGAGATGTAACGCTTTTGTTGTAGATCAAGAATCAACCACCAGATGGCGTCTAATAGACTTTATTTTACTGTTCAACACAAACGGACTACGACAGAGCTTTAGGGCCACGCTAAGAAAAAAAACACTTAAGACATAAAATTGTGAGAACAAAGTCGTACAAGATTTTTTTTCTTACAGCTCTCTTATTTATTTTTTCCCACAAGTCGGATCCACGACGTGACCTGTCAATCAGTCCAGTAGGCGTGTCTTCAAATGACCAATCCAAAGCTAAATACATTTAAAGCAGGTTTACCACATTTTAACTGTGGTAAAATGAAGAATGTTGAGCATCTTGTTAAATTATACTTTGGTATAGGTTTTTCAAATAATGAGATAGTTGATCTGTTAGCATATCTGCATCAGATTATTATCAGTATCAGGACTTTGAACCTGCTTACAGTAAGGTGGTACGCTCTGATGGGCTGCAGCAGCTCTCTGCAGGTAAGGAGCATTTAGCTTCGGATTGGTCATTTGCTGACACGCCCACTAGATTGATTGACAGGTCGCGTTGTGGATCTGACTCAAGGAAAAATATAAATAAATAAACGAGAGCTATAAGAAGTCTCGTACAACTTTATTCTCATAACATTAAGACTTTATTTGACTTTATTCTCATAATTTTATGGCATTTAAAAAATTTTTTGCATGGACCTCAAGCTTCATCGTAAACGGACAAAGTGAACCCCACAGGTCTTCATGAAACCACCTCCCTCACTCATCGTTACTCTACTGAACGGTGTAACACAAACTAACACATAATGAACATAAACCAGGCTAACAAGAACAGACTAATCACTAAAAGAACAGTGCTAAACAGTAAACTGAAATGATTAACAATGAGCATAAATTTTACCCATAATTCCTCCCTGAGGCCATGTGACCAGCAGTCAACCACAACGAACCAATGAGGTAGTCTCATTGAATCACAAGGACCCACCCCCCAAGAGAGATGTGTATTTATGAGATTACGTGTATAAATAAAGTTTTTTTTTTTTTTTTAATTGACCCATGAAATTACGGAACAGGTCACAGCTGAACCAATGAAATGGGGGGAGGGAAAATCCCTCTTCTCCACTCTCTGTGTGTCAAACAGTAAAATAAAGTCCTGAGGACCCGCCCTCCAAGAGAGACGTGTACTGGGCAGCTATGTGAGCGGGTGTGACGACGATAAATGTTTTGGCAGCAGGACGCTCGTTAGCCCGTCCAGTAAAACCTAACAAAAATAAAAATCCATAAATTAACTGCAGCATTGTATAAGCTGTGGGATTCAAAGCCTGTGAAAAAGTAGCAGCTTATAGACTGGCAATTACAGTATTTGTATGATAATTGAATGTAGCTTTTTTTTTTTTTAAATAATGTAGCTGTTTTTGTTTCTTTGTTTTTTTTATAATTTCTTCTATTTACTTTTCACTTTATCTGCTTTTATGTGATTGTCTGTTGTCTGTACCCCATCTGTGTTCTTTATTTAAAACAGGTCTCTCTTGTAAATGAGACTCAATGAGACTAACCTGTATAAATAAAAGTTGAATGAAAATTACTGTAATGCATTAGTGTACGCTTTACAAGTTGCAGTAAATTCACTTTTTTAAATTCAGTCGCTTCCTTTAAAACATTCAGCATTAAATCTCATGCCCTTGGTTAAAGTACGGATGGCTTCATTAGCTTAACAGGACGTGTTCCCGAGCTGAAGCCGCAAACATGCTGCCAGGTGGTTGTAAAATAAATCAGTTCCATGTTTAACGACATGTCCGCTCTCCAACAGGCATCAGCCAGAGCTACATCTCCCAGTGGTTGCTGCAGCAAGGTCTGGAGATGAGCGACTCCAAGCGCAGAGCCTTCTATCGCTGGTATTTGCTGGAGAGGAATAATCCAGGTGAGATGCAGGACAGCAGCGCACGTTTGGGCAGGAACACGGATCAGTGCCAGGTGCAGCAGATAACGATGCATGTCTGTGCACCAAGGTCAAATGTCAGACTAATGATCGATTAGACGTTGCAAGCCTCATTTAAATGGGATATTTGTTTAGTTGTGAATATGGCGCACTGCTTGCTGACCTTTCCCGTTCATCTTTCCTGTTTACCCCCTCGTCCCATCCTCCTGCATGGCAACACGCATCTCTAATTCGCCCCCCTAACACCCATCCTGGTCCTCAAGGGCTGCGAGGTTAAGGAAGGACACAAGACAGATCTATAATTTCAGAAAGAAGACACACGATGAAGGTAGTCCCGTCACAGGAGATTCTAATCGATGAGGCTTCTGGTTAGGAAATGAAACTGTAGTGGGTGAAGGTGGTTCGTCTGTGCGGGCTAGAGTAACGGCTTCTGACCTCCTCATGTCCTACAATCCAGCTGCTTGGGAAAATGTTCCTACAGTAAATAGCCTGTTTGTGTTTGTGGTGTGTTGTTTTTGTCTTGCATGCATGCAGTCATGAGAAAAAGAAAGCCCACCCTCTGTTAGCTCCAGGGTTTTACAGATCCAGACCTTCTGTCTACAAGGAATTATTTATTATAACAAAAATTAAACCAAAATGGAACTGTGTGAAAAACTGAGTCCACCTTTGCTGCTTTCTTAGCTTTTTTTTTTTTTTTTTTTTTTTTTTTGTCTTTTGGCTGCTCCCTTTTCACGAGTCGCCACAGAGAGCTAAGTTGCACGAAGAGTTATTTTTACGCCGGATGTTCTTCCTGACTCAACCACAGACACCGAGCTACCACAGCCCTCTGTGTGGAGCAGAGAGCTGCTGTCTAGGACACCCGGAGGAGCAGATGGTGGGGGTTAAGGACCTTGATGAAGGGCCCAAAGTGAGGCAAATGATGGTGGAGGCAGGTGCGGGTGCTTCATCTGTCTCACCCACATTTTGTTGTTGTCGGTACAGGAAGTTGAACCAGCGATCTTCCAATCACAGGCCCACCTTCTCTAACCTCTGCGCCACCACTCGCTGCCGCTTTCTTAGGAGTAAAGTTTGAAAATAGGTAGATATATCTGGATTAACTCATCATCGTCTGTTTGAGCACCTCTGGAGCAGACAGATGTGTGTGAACACGATGCCAAAGTGGAAAGGCATCAGCAATTACCTTGGAGAAGCAACATTTCCTGCCAGTTATTTTGGGAATGGTAACATTCATGTCCAAACAATGTGGAGTTCATCATTCTACAGTGAAAAAAAACATAATTCACACGTGGAAAACATTTAAGAGAGCTGCCAAACATTTTAGGAGTGGACGTCCCAGAACCCCTGAGATCGCACAAGAGAGAAATTACTAATAAACCCAACAGCTCCACCTCAAGCTCTACACTTGAGCAGGTTAAAGGTCCAGGTCATGATGAGGCATTTAGAAAAAGATCAAACATGTCTGGTTTGTCTTGAAGAGCTGCAGCAGAAACCTCTTCTGTCTAAAACCAACATGGCTGCTCGACTGAGTTTGTAAACTTTCATCTGAACGAAGCACAAGACTGCTGGAACAAAACAAGACAAAGTACAGATGTTTACCCATAATGCACAGCAGCATGCATGCAGAAAACCCAACAGCTCCTAGCAGCTGTCAGCACGGTGGTGGACGGATGATGGTTTGGGCTCCTTGCAGTCACTGAGTCCATCATGAACTCCTCTGTGGACCAATAAATTCTACAGACAGATGTGAGAACACCTGTCCAACAGCTGGAACTTGGACCAAACTGGGTCAAGATACAACAGAACAATGATTCAAACACAGCAGCTAAACTACAGAACAGCTGAAATTAAAGAAGAGGAATCCAGGAGCTGCGACGGTCCAGTTAAAGTCCAGAACCTCCACCTGAGTGACCTGCTGTGCTGGACCTTCAGAGAGCAGAACGTCTGCAAACCTCAATGAGCTGAAGCTGCGCTGGAAAGAAGAGTGGGACAAAGATCCTCCACAGCCATGTGAGACTACAGGAAACCACAGCAGAGTTGTTGCTGCTGCAGGAGGTTCTACAAGCTGCTGGTTCTGGGGTCGGACTTAGTTTTTCACACAGAACTTTTCCTTTTTCTTCAATAATTAATGACATGGTGGAACCTCGTAGTTTTTCTTACCACAAGAAGAGATTTGAATAATTTCAGAACCTGATGATAAAGAACTTTTTTTTAATGTGCCGATTTGTAAAACCCAACAATTGAAAGAGGGTCGAGGTTTTTTTCCCCATGAGTGTAAATTCTGTATGATTTTTTTATTGTACTTTAATTCTTTGATTATTTTTATTTATTTATTTACTTTTTAAGAAAAGCAACGCCCTTTAAAGTGAGCATCTGTTTTCACTCCATGTTCTTGAGTTGGTTTTGTTTTCCTGAGCTCAGCTTTGCTTTAGCCCCTCCATAGTCCCCCCCCACCCCACGATGCTGGGGGTCCTCTGGTGCTGGTTTTCATCCCCTCACAGCTAACACACTCTTTAATGGTGATACTAACAAGAACCAGGTTTTCTGCCGTTTAAACTGGCCACAGCTTTGCTACTCACAACCTCCTGCTGACCCGCTCATCATGAACGAGGTTCGCCTGAAAAATAAACTTCTACTTTGCAAATCAAGTACATTTCATTACAAAACAGACATTTGTTGGCGATTAACAACTTTCTGGAGATGTGACAGGTCTGCAGGAGTGTTTCAGTTTTACACAGAGGCACAAATTAATCAGCAGCTCTTCAGTTTGTTTCGGCCACGACTGGTCCTGGCCTTCCTGATTATTGGTTTTGTCCCAACTGAAGGGCTGAGGTGGAGTGAAAGCCAGCACAGTGTGAGTCTGCTGCCCAAGGCCAGGGGAGGGGACAGAGACAGGACGGTATCAGGGGCAGGTGGCTGCCTCCCCAGGTTCCTCCCCAACCCCAACACCACCCTCAACCCCGGCCACAACTCGTCATGGAGCAGGCAGAGAGAGCTGCTGATGCACTTGCTGCCGTGGTACACAGCCGCCGCTGCCGCCGCAGCTGCTGCCCAGGTCCAGCCAGGTAACAGTGACCTCCCTGCGCCCCCCCCCCTCCCCCCCAATCTTCAGCTACGAGCTGCACCAGCTGGCCTCGGTGTCTCTGCTCTGTGTTCATGTCAGCACCCTCTAATGGCTGCTCCACACTAAAGAGTTCTCTGTCAAGCCTTTGTTTCAGCTGCACGTCTGTTCAAGCATCATTTAATTTTTAATTGCTCATATTTGGGAACAAATCAGACTTTTAGCACACACACTCACTTCTGTTGTCTACAGAACCTAAAGAACCACAAACTCACATTTGCTTCAGTTTGACTTTCCAAATCTATATAGAATTATTGTATGTGCATCTCAGTAGAAAAAAGGTTAAATCAGGTCATCTGGACAGTTTCTTTTGACCTGATTTAACCTTTTTTCTATTTATCTACGTAGATGATGGAGCTTACAAACCTGTTTGTTTTTTTTTCGTCTCAGTAGGTTTACTTCTTTCATTTGCTGCTGTTTTTGTCATAAAACTCCCATTTTGGGCTCACAAACACACTATTTTAAACAAAATGTTACGACACAAGCAGATGAAAATGGGGCTCAGGTGCTAATTAAAAAGCATCAGGACAGTCTGATCCCAAAGAAACAGTTTCTGAGGCCAAATGATGATGATGATGGTGTTTTAGAAAAAAGAAGCTGCACGCTGTAGGAACGTACCATGTGTCATTAAAATCTGTGGGGATTTATTTTTCTCCTTTTCTTTGTTGTAGTATTGGTGTAGTATTTTATGAGACGTTGAGAAAATTAGATTCAAGGAACATACAGTTAAATCTTTGCTTAGAGTTGTACTTTTTTCAGTGGCAATTCTATATACGTTTAACTCAAGTACAAACAAGATATTAAATACTGTACAACCTTTACCCTCTGTCTTCAGATCCATTTCTGACTAACCAGTTACCCCCTAGCTGGTCTTAGTTTGCATAAATGAAATTGTGCCACATTCTCCTTCCTGCAGGGGCTACCTTGTCAATGCGCTCTTTGGTGAAGGAGGAGCCGGACTGGAGAACGGGGATCATAACTGGAGAACGAGCGGGGATTGTGGGTGGCCCTCTGAGGCTGCGTCGAGGAAGCAGGTTCACCTGGAGGAAGGAGTGTCAATCAATTATGGAGAGGTCAGCATGTTTTTTTTTCTTCTTCTGAAATTAGGCTTCTTTATATAAAAATACCACATGTGTCATACATGCTGTATTCATTTGATGTTGGAACAGGAAGGGACAACGTTTGGATCAGCCAAAATGCTCACTGGGCCACATGGCTGTGGAATTTTTAGTTGTTTCTTGATGCAGACATGGAATTGATAGTGAGCACCTTATCCAGGGGTAGACATAAAGACATTTTCCAGGTTGTTCAGTGAACAACATTTTGACAGAATCTGGTTGTCTGCAACCTTTACAGTAAAGAAGACAAAAAAATGTAAAGAAATATGTAATGTAATAAGTATATAGCACTAAATTACAAAGTTTACTATAAACAAATGTTGTCAGTCAGCCATCTTGTGGACTGCTTGAGCTTCAGACTCTTATCAGTAGCTCTGAAATGATAATTCAGGCCCCAGTGTTTCTCACCACCACTGAGGAGCTGACATCCCAGTTCAACAATGTCTGCTTAAAGACTATGGATCATGTTGCACCTGTTAAAACCAAAAAAATCAAAAATCAAACAGAACCTTGGCTGAGTGACGTCACCAAGGCCGCTAGGCAGCAATGTAGGAGGGTGGAACGAAAGTGGAGGAAAGACAGGCTGCAGGTCTCTTTCCAGATACTTAAAGAGAGTTGGCGCCATTATCAGAAAACAGTAAAAGCTGCTAAATCCAAATACTTCTTTGATATAATTACCTCAAACTCTCACAACCCACGTGTCCTCTTCTCCACCCTAAACTCTGTTCTCCACCTCACTGAACCATCACCTCTGGAAGCCTCAACTGAGCTGTGCGACAACTTCTTACATTTCTTTTTGGAAAAAATTGCGACCACCAGGGCTCTCATTTCCCCTCCAACTCATGACCCATCCATCCCACCTCAAGCTGTAGCTCTATTTGACCATTTTGAATCCATCACTCTATCTTCTCTAGAGCAGGTCATGTGCAGCTTGAAACCTTCTGGCTCCCCCTTTGATGTGGTCCCCCCTCGACTACTAAAGGAGGTGTTTCCAACTCTAGGTCCGTCCATTCTTGATAAACAGTAGTTTATCCACTGGCGTGGTGCCAAAATCCTTTAAACATGCAGCCTCTCCTGAAAAAAAACAAACCTTGACCCCTCAGTCGTTTCCATCTTCCGGCCTGTCTCCAGACTCCCATTTGTTTCTGAACTACTGGAGAAAATAGTCGAGTCTCAGTTGAAGTGCTTCCTGGAGGATCACGCCATCTTAGAGCTTTTCCAATCTGGCTTTAAACCTCTCCACAGCACTGAAACTGCCCTGCTGAAGGTCTTTAACGACATCTTCAGATCCACAGATACTGGTGATTCTGTGCTGCTTGTCCTGTTGGACCTCACAGCCACCTTTGACACCATTGACCATGAGATCCTCATTACTAGGTTGGAGCAGTGTGCGGGCGTCACAGGATCAGCCCTCAATTGGTTCAGATATTACCTCGCTGACAGATCCTTTTGTGTCTCCATCAAGGATTTTAGTTCCGCAGAGGCAGAGCTTAAATGGGGGATTCCGCAGGGGTCCATACTGGGTCCCCTCCTATTCTCTTTATACCTGCTGCCGCTTGGTGCTATTTTCCGGAAACACAACATGCCCTTCCACTTCTATGCCGATGACTGTCAAACTTACTTCCCCCCTAAGACACAATGGTACATGCTCTATTCAACCGCTGCTCGACTGCCTGGCTGACATCAGGGACTGGATGGCTTTAAATTTCTTGAGTTTCAATGAAAAGAAGTCTGAAGTCATGTTGTTCCCTCCCAACGACACAATCACAAACCACTGTATCGTCCTTTCCACTCTAACCCTGTCAGAAAAACAAAGAGTCACTAATCTGGGCGTGATAATGGACCCTTCCCTGAAGCTTAACAATCATGTAAACATGATTGTTAAATCATGTTTCTTCCAACTGAGGCGGCTGTCTAAACTGAAGCCCATATTGTCCAAAAATAACCTGGAGACAGTAATACATGCATTCATTACATCTAGGCTTGATTACTGCAATTCGCTCCTGTTTGGTATCAGTCAAACCTCCATTGTACGACTACAACTGGTCCAGAATGCAGCAGCCCAATTTTTAACCAGTACAGGCAAAAGAGAGCACATTACACCAGTTTTGGCCTCACTGCACTGGTTACCGGTTCACTTTCGAATCCAGTTCAAAATATTCATGTATGTCTACAAATCACTGAACAGTGTCGCCCCCCTTCCCCCCCCCCATCTCTCTGATTTGCTACAACCGTATGTCCCACCACGCCCCCTGAGGTCAGCGGACCAGTTGCTCCTCACAGTTCCAGGAACTCGTCTTAAGCGCAGAGGTGACAGGGCCTTCTCTGTAGCAGGACCAAGACTTTGGAACGAGTTACCTCTGCTTGTCAGACTGGCCCCCTCCCTCTCGGTTTTCAAGTCCCGTTTAAAAACTCACTACTATTCAGTAGCTTTCAACACCAGATGATCTGTGTTTTGATCCTGTATGCTCCACACTGGTTTGTCGTCATATTTATTATCTGCATCGTTTTTTTTGTCTATATTCTGATTTACCTCATTTTGTATTTTGCTTTGTGTGTTACCTGTTGTTTTGTCTGTACAGCACTTTGGTTGGCCTTGTAGCTGTTTTAAGTGCTTTATAAATAAAGTGATATGGTATGGTTACATAAATATAAATTAAACAAAGAAACACCCTTCCCAGACAGACCCTTTCTTTATAGATCAGTTACAATAAACTTACCATGCTCTGTTCAGCAAAATAAGCTAAACAGTATTGCTCCCTGCTTTGTCTGTGCTGAACGTCAAAAGTGAAATTTAAGTGAACGGCCATGACTTGAAAGTAGTCTTTCATTCGCCCTCTGCTGGATACATTGTTCAATTACAGCTCATTCTCAACATTTTAGGGGTGAAAATTAGAAGAGCTTATATCGGCACATAATGGGACAATTATCACCGATATATATGATAGGTCCCCAAATGCATATATCGACCTAAATTATTGAGCGTACCATTATATCAGTCGGGCTGTAATAGAAACTTGTTGTTTGGGTTCAAGTCTAAGGACTGGGTTTATGTCAAAGGACTTCTTTGATGCTAAAAAAGTCCCTCTGGAATGAAATGTTGCTTACTTCTGTTTATTAACACTTTTAAATCAACTTCTAGTCCTCATCTCAATTCACCCAAGACTTTTATTTCCTCCTTTTTGTCCTTTAAACATGATGAGCCCCTGATTATTATTATTATTTTTTTTTTTTTTTTTGCATTATGTTTGTCCCAGATATTTTTCTTGGTAACCCAGAGAGAAACTGAGAAGAAGAGGAAGCAAAGAGCCCGCTGTGTGTAATTGATTTCTTTTCTACATGCAGCTGTAAGCATAGTGCAGTCTGGGCACTCAGTAATAAAAGCTTACCAGCAGGGGCTCTGGATTACGCAATTTTACTGCAGTGCTGATCCTTATGAGCTAGTTAAGACCCAAGGACGATACTGTAGAGGTGAAGTGTGTGTGCGTGTGTGTAAGAGAGCAACAGTGTAAGAGAGCTTTAGGGAATTGATCCCTTTGTGTTTTGTAATGTGAGATAATGATTTAGCCATGCAGGGACAGAAAAAAAACACTGAGCCATAAAAAGAAGAAATTTGAATTGCAAAGTGCAAAACACGAACTGTTTGAGCCGTACCTCAGAGAAATGATTTCTGCTTTGCCAAAACATCCTTATATTGATAAGAATAAAAGGAGATATGATTCCTTAAATCGTAATACACCTAATATTTTCCTAATATTTTATTGGTTTCTAATGAAGGCCCTACCTGACATTTGTTTAAAAGGATATTATTTTACAGTGGGTGTTCGTTAAAAAGGTTACAAGTAAATTAAACTTCTCCCATGTTCATACCTTTTTGAATTACCAATTTTTTTATTGCAATGGTTTGTTATCTGGGTGTCCAAAAACTATATTAAAGTCTTCAGTTGATCCAAAATGCTGATGCCAAACTCTTAATATAGAGGAGTGATGTCGCAGAGGTTATAGAAGGTGGGCCTGTGATCAGAAGGTTGCCGGTTCGACTCCCTGGACTGACAACATCAAACTGTGGGTGGTAAAGGTGAAACACTCACACCTGTCTCCACCCTCATTTGCTCCACTCTGGGCCCTTGATCAAGGCCCTTAACCCCCACCATCCCATCTGCTCCCAAACAGGTCTCTCTTGAAAATGAGTCCTCGTGACTCAATGAGATTACCTGTAAATAAAGGGTAAATAAAAATAAAATAATGGGAGTTAGTAGGAGAGATCATATCTCTCCAGTTTTAGCTTCTTTCCATTGGCTCCCTGTGTAATCCAGAATTGAATTCAAAATCTAAAATAGTTTTTTTTAAATACTATTTCTATCTTAACATGCGATTCTCGACCTGCCATTGTGTATCTGTTCCTCTCAAACCCAGCTGGTCAAAGCAGATGACCGCTTGTCCTTAGTCTGGTTCTGCTGGAGGTTTCTTCCTCATGAGGGAGTTTTTCCTTTCCACTGTCGCCTTTGTGCTTGCTCAAAATACCATACCATACCATACCAATTTATTTATATAGCACTTAAAACAGCAACAAGGCCAACCAAAGTGCTGTACAAAAGAACCAAACATGCACAGCAGACAGGAAAACATAAAATAGAAATACAGATACAGATAGCAGCAGAAGCTAACTAAAATGGCCAACAGAGTAGAGAACAGACCGGGCCAAAACAAATCACACCGTGTTAAAGGCAAGCGAATAAAAGTGGGTCTTCAAGCGAGACTTAAAGACTGAGAGTGTGGGAGCCTGCCGGACACTCAGTGGCAACTCATTCCACAGTCTTGGACCTGCAACAGAGAAAGCCCTGTCACCCCTGAGCTTACGACGGGTTTCTGGGACTGAGAGAAGCATCTGGTCTGCTGACCTCAGAGAGCGCGGTGGGACATATGGCTGCAGAAGATCAGTGAGATAGGATGGGGCGGAACTGTTCAGTGATTTAAAAACATACATGAGAATTTTGAAATGGATCCGAAGGTGAATGGGTAGCCAGTGCAGGGAGGCCAAAACTGGCGTGATGTGCTCTCTATAGCCTGTACCAGTTAAAAATCGGGCTGCAACATTTTGGACCAGTTGTAGACGAGAAAATGAGAAAATGAGTTCTGTGATGGAGTTAAACTCAAAGCAGTCTGCTCCTCAGATAAATAATGTTATTAATGTACTTTTTATATGTATGAATGTTTCTGTTCAGTGCCCTGAGATGACTTCTGTTGTGACTTGGTGCTAAATAAATAATCTGAATTGAATTGAAAAAAATCTGAATTAATTTTGAGGAAGTAAAATTTCCATCTGATGAAAAAAGAAGCAAACTGGTGACGTCTTAAAACGACTTCAAACACCAGATTTTCTGAGCAGCTCATGCGAACATCAATTCCCATAAACTGACAGCAATGTTGATTTATAAAAGGGTCTGTTTGAATTTCTTTGACATTTAGAAGATTGGAGTTGTTACTAAATGGTAAATTTATACTGAACTTTGGTTCTGCTCAAAGCAGCCACTGCTGGCTCATCAATACGGTCTCAGCAGATTCTCTTGTGTTGAGTGGTCTTCACTGCATCAGTCCTGTCAGGCTTAAACTCTTGCTTCTGTTCACTGAAATCGTTCAAACAACTGTCCGTCCATCTTCTTCATCTAATCTCTGTTTGGGTCGTGGAGACAACTGGTCCAAGAGGGAGACCCAAATAGCCCTTTGTCCAGTGAAACTCTAGCTCCTGGGTGATTCCAAAGCTTTCCCAGGTCAGAGAGGATGTAGAATCTCTTTTGTCCAAAAATATTTTCTCAGAACATGTGAAGGAGGTATTCTAATCGGATACCTGAACCACCTCAACTGACAGCTCTACTTACTGGTTAACAGAGCTCTTCATCTTATTTCTAAGGCTGAGCCCAGTCACCCTACAGAGAAAACCTATTTTAGCCACTTGTATCTACGATTTTGTATTTGGGGTCATAATCCATATGTCAAGACCACAGATGAGAGTTGAACTCTAGATGGACCAGTAAATTAAGAGCTTTGCCATTTGGTTCAGCTTCTTCTTCACTTTTACTGACCAGAACAACACCCTTCTTACTGCAACCCAGGCTCTAATTCATCGATCCATCTCCTGTTACCGTATATCCTACCATCACTTGTGAACAAAACACCTTGATACTTAAACTTCTTCACTTGTGATAAAGACACAACCCCAACCCGGAGTGAGCATTGCGCCTTTAACCGGTTAGGAACCACAACCTCAGACACAGAAGAGCTGAGTCTCAACCCAGTCAGGGCCTGAAGAACCACAGAAGAAATACTTCAACAGAACCACATCATCCACGAAAAGCAGAAAATTCCCTGAAAATAGACGCTCTCTTTATGACTGCACCTTGAAATCCTGTCCTTGAAGACCACAAAAAAGATCAAAGATGAGGGGTAGTCCTGGTTTACTTAAACCTTCACTGAAAGAAAACTCCCAACTTTGTGAGAATACGAACACAGCTCTCTAGCCATACAGGAACCAAATAGCCCTTAAGGAGCTATAAACTGTCTATAATCATTCCACAAATCCTCATTTCAAAATATCCCCTTCAAAACCCTCTTATGGTGTAATATGAAGGTTAAAAAGCAACGAAGTGTAAAATTGGGGTAGAACTGTTCTCAGCTCTTCTCAGAAGGGTGCCATATGGTTAAAAATGGAATCCTTGAAGCAGCTTGTTGCTTCCAATAATGTCATTTTTCCTTCATAGTTTCTTCATGGAGAATCAGTACCCAGATGAAGCAAAGCGGGAGGAGATTGCCAACGCCTGTAACTCTGTCATCCAGAAACCAGGTAGGACGAGGATTTTATTTTTTTTATCTATAATTTGTAATTCAACAACTGATAATTATCAACTCTGTGGTCATAAAATTGTGTCAGGAATGTTGAGGGTACCAGGTAAATGTCTTTCTGCGTTGGTTTCTTGCACGCACCCTCCTATCTTGACTTCATGTCTTCAAGCCTCCTTATGCTCATTTGTCCGAAAAATGAAAATGGAGCATTCTGACATGTTTTGGTATGTGGCTTTCTAGGGCGTAAGAAAGGTTCCTTTTGAAAATTGGGTTGGCACTTCAAAATCCAAGATGGCCACTGCCATTTATGTACAGTATGTAAACCAGCTGCCCTGATCATTTGAAGAAACTATGCCCTAAAGTTTTTATATTGCTTAAAAGTGTAGTTTTCTCAATTGAGGTTGCTGGTGGGGTGGCCAAAGATTAATCTATGGTGGCCAAGGCTACTAATGGCCACCACCTGACTCCGCCACTGCACATGGTGGTGAATAAAATTGCTCTCTTTGCTTTCCAGGATCTCTCACTCTGTGTTGCTTTTGACAAGCAAAACCATTTGTCACATAATATACCCCTTACTTATAAACTACCATAATTGCCAGTCTATAGAACGCACCTGCCGGTCTATAAGCTGCACACACTGAATTAAAAAATAAATGAATAAAAATTGTACATATATAAGCCGCACCTGTGTATTAGCCGTTTTCTGAAGTGTCAGTAACACAGCTGGTTAAAAAAAAAAAACAGTAACCTTCCAGGAAGTCATTGATCACAGTGTTCCCCCTAGATAACTTGCCATGGCGGGGCGCTCATCTCGACCGTGATTTTTGTTTGGGGGGTGACGGACGGAGACTCGTCCTAAGCTGCGCAGCGCGCTGTCTAAACCAACAGTTTTAGAGCAGGGTGTATGAGAGGAGAGAGATAGAGACATATCTCAGCCGCGCGCTGTCTGAACCGACAATCTTTTTTTTTTGGGGGGGGGGGGGGGTCGGCATGGGGAGAGACGACGCACATCTGAGCAGTGCGTTGTTTGTACCGACAGGTTTCGAGTGGAGGGCGTGCGTTCAGCGTGAGTGTTCAACATGAAGGAAGAGGCTGCCTTTAGCTTTTTAGCTAGCACACCTGCATTGCGAGCCACTAGTTTAGCGTTACGTCAGTGCCGACAGGTGGGTGGGGGTGGGGGGTGGTCTTCGGTAGACGGGGCGCTCGGGTCTTGACGGGACGGGGTGCCCCGCTTGTATAATAATAGGGGAAACACTGCATTAGTTCGGCTGTGATCTGTTGGGTAATTTCATTAGTCAGATTTTTTTTTACTTTATTTATACAGTAGTCTCATAAATACACGTTTTGGCAGGGGCGGGGTCCTTGTGACTCAATGAGACTACCTCATTGGTTCGTTGTGGTTGACTGCTGGTCACATGGCCTCAGAGAAGGATTATGGGTAAAATTTATGTTCATTGTTAATTATTTTGGTTAACTGTTTAGCACTGGTTTTTTTTGTGTGTGTGATTACTACCATATTTTTTGGCCTATAAGTCACAGTTTTTTGCATAATTTACATGCCCTGGGACTTATAGGCTGAAGCGACGTATTTATGGATTTTTCCCCATATATATAAACCAATTTTTGGCTGAGATATGACCGTTTTCGTTCATTCTGGCTGGAAAAAATAAAATAAAAAATTGTGCAGTACCACTTTCAGCTACTTGATGGCAGCAGAGTAGTAGTAGTAGTAGTAGTATGGCATGCCGTTGTATCATGTAATAGGTGAACATGGCTATAATGACAAATTCAAAAATGTTCAAGACAAAACAACTGGAATTTATTTATTAAACTTTATACTTTATTATTTTTGTCTTGAACTTTTTTGAATTTACCATGGCCTGGATGACTGAGAATCTTCACCGGCTATTAATGACACAGTTGGCTTGCCATAGGCCCCTCACCTTTGTTCTGCTCGCTGCTTGGAAACGGTCAAACCAGCTGCACCGCCCCAGCGAAATGCAGCTAATTTGACCATTAAAGTGCATTTATTAAGTAAAAGTTCAACTGAGACACACATTTGCTATAAATTCGAGCAAACAAATAATTGTTTTAGGTGCTTTTCTTGTTAAATTTTGACGAAACGAGCAGCGTTCCTCCTTTTTTTCTCTCTCTCTGCGTGCTCCCGGAGCACCGAGGCAACAAATACTTTTGAAATGCAGCTGATTTGACTGTCAAAGTGCATTTATTAAGCAAAATTTAGACTGAGACACACCTTTACTATAATTTTGAGCAAACAAATAATTGTTTTTAAGTGTTAATCTTCTTAAATTCTTGTTAAAGTCCTCCCGTGCACGCTCCCGCGGCTGCCATTTGGCAGCCCATCGATTTTTGGCAGAACACCGGCCCACATTTCTGGGTTCGGCCCACATTTCAGGGTTCGGCCCACATTTCCAGGTTGTCAGCGGTGACGCAAAATAGATGTGACGTATACGGCAAAGCGACATATTTATGTATTTTTTCACTTTTTTTAGACGTATTTGGACTGATGTGACATATAGGGCGGAGCGACAAGTACGGCGGAAATTACGTTTGTCTGTTCTTGTTAGTCTAGTTTGTGTTCATTATGTGTTACTTTGTTAGGAGTGACCATGAGTGAGAGAGGTAGTTGTCATAAAGACCTGTTGGGTTCACTCTGTCTGTGTGCGTCACAAGGACCCACCCACTATAGAGGTGCATTGGGCAGCTATGTGAGCGCCCGGGTGTGACTAAACTAAATTACTTTGGCGGCAAGAAGGTAGTTATCCTGTCTGTCCCAAAAAAACAACAACCATAAATTAGTGGCAGCATTGTATAAGCTGTGGGGTTCAAAGCGTGTGAAAAAAGTAGTGGCTTATTACACCAGAAAGTACAGTAAGCTTATGAAACAAAACAGAAAATCAGCACTGCAGTTTTTTCAATAGAGGATTTTTTTTGTTTCCCTCTCCAGGCTGTAAACTCTCAGAGTTTGAGCGTGTGACGGCACTGAAGGTGTACAACTGGTTTGCGAACCGTCGGAAGGAGATGAAGAGACGAGCAAATATAGGTAAGAGTCGATAACCTAACAGGCAGAGGAGAGCGAGTTCCACACCTCAGATGTTTCACCAGCCTCTCTGCTACCGTCTGAACACAAGCAGAAGCTGCCATCTTGGAAAGCCATGGAATTGAAGTGCCGAGTCCAAGTTGCCATTCCAACGGCGAGGAAGGAGAGATGCAAGAGTTTGCAGAACAAGTGAATCATCAATTTTCTGAGCAGGTGAGACAACATTGATGGAGATGAGGGCCTGAAAACCGTACAGCACATCCCGAAAGTATTCACATCGCTTCACTTTTTCCACATTTTATGTTGCAACTTTATTTCAAAACAGATTTTTTTTCTAAATTCTACACAAAACACCATGACAACATGAAAAACTTTTTTTTTTTTAATGTTTGCAAATTTATTAAAATTACAACAACTAAGAAATCACATGTACATATATATATTCTCATCCCTCACAGTGGACCAGAACACCTGTGGACAGGTGCAGAAGTCTGAGTTACTAAAATCACTTAATTGCAGTGATTGTTTCGGAGGTTGTGCAATAAAATTTTAGGTTTAGGGTCCCATCCTTTTTTTTTTAGGTCATTGTCTTTTTTTTTTATAATTCTGTTGTTTTTTTGTTGGTTGAGTTTCAGTAAATTTTATTATTACTTTAGTCTTTTTATTACTGTAGGGCTTTCATTCTGTAATAAAAGGGTACAAACAAATTTATTTGTATCTGTATGTGGTCCGCTGCTGTCAATCCTTAAAAAACATTCTTTAAAACTTAAAAAGGCTTTTTTTATTTGCAAACTGCCCAAAGATAGGTGTGCTGACTTGAGGCTGTAAGCGCTGCCAAAGGTGCACTAACAAAGTACTGAGCAAAGGTTGTGACTTACGTACATGTGATTTATTGTTTTTTATCCATCCATCCATTATCTTCTGTTTATTCTCAAGTTCTCAAGTCTCGGGGCAGACATCTCTTTCCACAGCCACCTCTTCCAGCTCTTCTGGGAGATCTCAAGGCGTTCCCAGACCAATAGGGAGACTTGGGGTGTTTTCACACCTGATAGTCCAGTAGACTCTGTTCGACTGGGGACCAAAATTCAGAACATTTTTTTACATTTGAGCTGGTGCGATTCTCATTCACTGAACTGAGTCAATCGAGCCAACCTGTTCCTCCACTCGCCTGTGGTGGCGCTGCACCAAGAACTAGTGAAGAAAACGACACAAAAAACTCTGAAGACACTTCTTCATCTTCTTCTTCTTCTGGAAATAAAAACAAAAATGGAGTGGTGTCAAATTTTAGCGGTTTTAGGATTTCTGTTTTTCATTTTTCAACAATGGACTCAGCATGAGCAGAAGATGAGGCAGAAGACCATGGAGAATGTTTTCTTTCACACAAGATGGCTGACGGCTTTGTATAAGATAAGAGAAATGCACATTTGTTTGCCACTTCCTGCTTTTGGAGCGGTCTCTGATCCGCATGCATTCACACTGCATTCGAATCACGTTAGAGTTCACTTCAACCGGACCGAGACCTAGGTTTTTAGGCGGACCAGAGATCAGAATTTGATTGCACATTCACACCTCCCAACTGAACCGGACTTTCTAGGCAAACGGACAATAGTTTGATTAAAGCGGACTAAACAGGGCTGGTGTGAATGCACCCATAGTCTCTTCAGCGTTTCCTGGGTCTTCCCCCGAGTCTCGGATATGCCCGAAGCACCTCCCTAGGGAGGCGCCCAGGAAGCATCCATTGTAGATGCTGAACCACCTCAACTGGCTCCTCTCGGTGTGGAGGAGCAGCGGTTTGCTGAGTAGTTGGGTTTTTTTAAATTTTGCAAACATTTCTAAAATAACTTTTTTTTCATGTTATTATGGGATGTTGTGTCCAAAACTTTGAGGGAGAAAAACATTTTATTCCATTTTGGAGTAAGGCTGTATTATAACAAAATGTGGAAAAAGTGAAGCACTGTGAATATTTTCTAAATGCACTGTATGTCAATCATACATAGCCACAAGATCCACCCACCCATCATCTTTACCCGCTTCTTCCATTTTTGGTCACGGGGGTCGCCGGTGCCTATGTCCAGCAATCACTGTGCGAGGGGCGGGGTACACCCTGGACGGGTCGCAAGTCCATCACAGGGCCACATAGAGACAAACGAGACAAACAACCATTCACTCACTCAGACCTAGGGACAATTTAGAGTTACCAATCAGTCTAACATGCATGTTTTTTTTGGTCTCTGGGAGGAAACCGGAGAAAACCCACGCATGCACGGAGAGAACGTGCAAACTCCACCCAGAAAGGTCTAAGGTTGAATGAATGAAAAGCTTCGCTGTGCTCTTCTTCTTTTTCCTCGCAGTTTCATGTTCAGCAACCTTTGTCCAATATATCCACTGATGTACTTCTTTAATAATCGTGTCCATTTGTTTCACTCCCAGTGAAAATCCTGTCATCTTTATCTCTGCCACCTCCAACCGTACAGTACATCATGTATTTTATCTCAATTCAACAGACTTCCATTCCTCTTGTGCCCAGAGTAAACCTCCACCTCTCCAGGCTCTCTTCCACCTGCTCCCTACTCTCACTACAGATCACGGTCATCTGTAAACATCATATTCATGCCTCACCTCATCTGTCACCCTGTTCATTACTAGTTCAAACAATAAGGGGTTTTGAGTTGATACCCGATGTAATCCTGCCCCCACCATCTATCGGTCCTACTGCACACCTTACCACTGTCTCTGTCCTTGTGCACATGCGGCACTACCCTCTCCACCACCCCTGACCTAGTCATACCGTACCATTTCTCTTGACACTACTTCAGTGGTCCTCAATCCTGGTCCTGGAGGGCCACTTTCCTGCATATTTTAGTTGTTTTTCTACTTTTCAGCAGGTCTTCAAGTTCTGCAGACACCTGTTAACCACTCGTTCACTTGCATCAGGTGTGTTTAAGCAGAGAAACATCGATAACATGCAGGATTGTGGCTCTCGAGTACCAGGATGGAGGACTTAGATCAAGGGCAGTGCAGCTGAGACAGGTAGTGAGACAACAACACACTCCAGAAGCTTCAACAACTGCTGTAACGATTTCAGCAAACTGACCAAAGTAGAACTGCGAGTGTGAGGGACTTCCAGTTAGGCCTGTCACGATAACAAATTTTGCTGGGCGATTGTCTCAGAAATTATTGCGATAAACGATAATATTGTTTGAAATTTGACAATAATTAGTAATTATTGTCAAATTTAAGAAGAAATCTTGGTTGATTTTTGTGTGTAGTACCTTTTTTGACCACAGGATGGTTGTATAAGACAGTTTGAACCAAAGGATGGATAGTGAGGGAGCGAGCAGCGTGCCTCTTTAAGAAAAATGGGAGGGAGGCCCCTTCACGTGACATAGGCTGTCTCTTGTTTCTGTTTTTTTGGTTCTCAAAATGGCGGACACTCAGTGTAGTTTGAGCTCTTTAGCATAGCAGTTTTCACGCAACGCTTTTAATAAAAGATCAGTAAACAAGTTCTCAGCTTCTTTTTGCAGAGAAAAACAACTTTTTACACAAAGGCACGAGTTTCAACCCTGAATTTTGGAGCTTCGACAAGACGGAGGTTTTTTCCCAAGGTCGGCTGGTTAGCTTAGCTCATAGCTTAGCTTCTCAGCTACTTTAACAATCCAAAAACGTGATTTTGGGCAGTTAAATTGGATTTTCAAGAGTAAAGAGAAAGGGAGGGGTCAATGAAGAACACCAGAGTTGAGCCTTTTGTCATCCAGTGTCTTCAGTAGAAAGAGAGACACAAACGATAAAGCCGATAAATGAAAATGAGATTGATAGTTTTCATTTATCATGCGATTAAATGATTTATTGTTTATCATGACATGCCTACTTCCAGTACGACTAAAGGGAAACTTGGGTTTTCACAGCCCATGTATAGATATGAAGGACCCCCTTTATTCCCACAGAATGTGCCTAATAAGAAGTCCAAAATCCAAATACTCTTCCTCTAAATATACTTGCTCTTTCACAGGAGGACACATCTTCCCAGAGGGTTCTGGACCATCAAGATCCCGCCTCATTGGCCACTGTGGAGGTGTTGGTCCCGCCCAGTCCCAGCTCTCAGGTTGTGGAACAAAAAGATGGCAATTCAAAAAGGGAGCCTGTGGATGAGGAGTGACTAAAGCCAGCATTTATTTTTTCAATCAACATAATTTGATTTTAAATCAAATGAAATAGGACAAGAATAAATGCCTCCTGCTTTACCCATGTAGGACCTTTTGGACCTGTGACACCTCTTTTAATGGAAGTGGGTGTTGAAGCTCACTGAGGTGCCTCGGTGGGGAGAGCACCATATTTATCAAGTGTAATCCTGCTTATATTAATGGCAATATACAGTGTATGTATAGGTATATAGGGTATAAGGTATATATCAATATATAGTGCATTCCAAGATGGTATTAAAGGCCTAAATTCTTTAGAGGAAAGATTATGTAAAAGAATACCTCACCACTTTAAGCTTTTTTATTGTCTGCTACAAAACTTGTTTTTTTTTTTGTTGTTTGTTTTTTTCTAAGAGTGGCTGTCTGGTGACATGAATGTGTTGAGCCTGCAGGTCAGGTGTGATAGGGTGTGAGGTCAAATGTGGGATCTCATTTGGTGAGGGTTCAGGAAGTACTCCTGTTGGAATGTCTTTCACCCCGCCTGAACTGTGAGACGATTAATTGGTTGCCGTCATATTTGTAAAGCCCTGAGGGACAACTAAAATCTCAGGTAATCCCAAAAACCATGAACAAAAGACGATGATTAATGGCACCATGTGTTTTTGTGTGTGTGTGTGTGTCAACGTGTGCTTTAAGTTTAATTGTGTTTAAGGAACGCCAAAAATTTAATTTATATCTTTTGTATTATGCCTCATAGTAAACATGCCTCAAAGAAATTACTAGTTTATATCTTTGTTATATTTACTGTTAGTTTTAGTTACTTTCATGTCCTAAATCTCAGCCAGTGACACGTGACTGGTTACACAAAGTGTAAAAAAAATTTTTTCAAAGATATAAAATCTGCTTGTTGTGTCCAGAAATGCTATAAGCACCGTTTTTAGGCCTCCTTGAGTTTGGATGATGGTCCCGCTATGATTTAAAAATAAATCAGCCCGAACCTGATCAATGATCTTTGCAGGGTTCTTAGAACGCAATGGGTTCCCCCATTATTTGAGCATGTGCAAAGCTTCCTGAAGGAGTGGTGGTTTATGAACCAGCCACTGCTGGACTGGCCCCACTGGCCTCATTCCGAGATTCAGAGAGATTTATTTGTCATACACATCACACGTGGTAGATGAGGTGGGACGAAACTTTGTACACAGGGTCCCAGTTACATCCAACAAAAACACAAATTGTAATGAAAAACATTAGTATGATCCGAGTCATGAACTAAGAATATACTACATTCACTAAACTAAGAATATACAAGACTAAGAATACACTAATCACTAATGGTACAAAAACAATGCGTCAAAACAACAGCAGCACGAACATGAGTCTGTGTGAGCAGATGAGGACTAATGAACACAGCAACATAAAATAATCATCAGCATAAGATCATCATCATGGATAGACAGCAGAACACATCAACAACCAAGTGGCCTTACAGTGATTTTTCATGGTTAGAGATTCATGAGTCTAACAGCCTCAGGGTAGAAGCTGTTCCTCAGCCTGGTGGTTCTGCACTTAATGCTTCTCAGCCTTCTGCCTGAGGGGAGCGTGGCAAAAAGTGTGTGTGCTGGGTGTGTGGGGTCCTTCATGATGCAGGTGGCCCTTTTCCTGCATCTGGAGGTGTAGATGTCTGTGATGGTGGGGAGACTGACTCCAACAGTCTTCTGTGCAGCCTTCACCACTCTCTGCAAAGCTTTTCTTTCTGCAGCTGTGCAGCTTCCATGCCACACGTTGATGCTGGAGCACAGGATGCTCTCCACTGCACACCTGTAGAAGGAGGTGAGGACTGAGCTTCCCAGACCAGCTCGTCTCAGCTGTCTGAGGAAGTAGAGTCTCTGATGAGCTTTCTTGGTCAGGCTGGTGGTGTTGTTGCCCCAGCTGTGGTCATCTTTCAGGTGTACACCCAAGTACTTGTAGCTGGAGACCACTTTCACCACAGATCCTCCTATGTTCGGGGGGGGGGGGGGGGGGTATTCATTCTGAAGTCCAAGACCATCTCCTTTGTCTTATTCCCATTAATTTGAGGGTTGTTCTTCCTGCACCAGCTCTCCAGGTGTTCCACCTCCTACCTGTAGCTGGACTCATCATTGTTTGTGATGCATCCCACCACTGCTGTATCATCTGCAAACTTTACAATGTGACAGCCTGAATTGGTCGGTACACAGTCATACGTTACAGAGTGAACAGAAGAGGGCTCAACACACAGCCCTGGAGGAAGCCCGTGCTGAGGGTTATGGTGGAGGAGGAGAAGTTGTGGATCTTCACAGATTGTGGTCTGTTGATTAAGAAGTCTAGGACCCAGTTGCATAGAGAGGGATTTAGTCCTCGTGTGATTAGTTTATCCATTAGGGTCTGGGGAATCATTGTGTTGAAGGCAGATGTGAAGTCCACAAAAGAGCATATGGACATAGGAGTCCTTCTGCTCCAAGTGGTTAAGAGCAGTGTGGACCACAGTGGAGATGGCATCTTTTGTTGATCGATTCTCATGGTATGCATACTGATGAGGGTCCACGTTAATGTTAATATTAACTTTGATGTGGGTCATGACCAGTTTTTCAAAGCATTTAGTGATTATTGGGATGAGGGCTACTGGCCGATAGTCATTCAGGCCAGTCACTGTAGAGCTTTTTGGAACTGGGATAATGGTGGCAGTCTTGAGGCAGGTGGGAACTGTTGCCAGTGTGAGGGCAGAGTTAAAGATGTCGGCCAGCACCTCACAGAGCTGATCAGCAGTCTTTCAGCACCTTCCTTAGGATGTTGTCCGGGCCAGTTGCTTTGTGAGAATTGATCCTCCTGAAAGTACTCCTTCTGCTGAGGTCATGCCGAGGAACTTTTCTAATGTTTAGGCTGTAAGTGTGACCATTATGTGGTCGTGAAAACAACCCATCAGAGTAGCTACGTCCCTGTAGCTACATCCAGATGAGGGTTACTATGCAATTTTGATAAATACGGAATTTGGTTTTAGTATTTTCCAGATTTGAGTAATTATAGAAAAGTAAATGCAGAGTATGTACTATCATTTGTATTTCTAGACTTTATTCCTTAAAAATAAAAATTAACTTGTATTTCATATTAATTGTACATCAATGATTGGCATCATTTATCAGGTCATGAGTTTAATATTTAAGCCTTCATTATATTTTATTTTAAGCTACTCTTTCAGAACCCCTAGATATAGTATTACCATTGATTACATTTACAGTAGAAATACCTTATCTAGTACCCAAGTGTTGACCAATTTCCTCTTAGCCTGGGCCTAGTACAAGTTTCAAGTCCTGCCCCTTTAATCTAAAGAAATGGAACTTTACCCTTAAAGGGAAATAAAACAACAACATCAGATATGACAAGACACTGAACCCCTCATTGCCTCCGATGTGTGTTCCATCGGCGTATAAATGTGATCTAAAGCTCTGATTATTCTTTGTATAGATCTAGTAGAGTGCTGTATGAATGGGTAAATGAGGGCACAGATTGTAATGTAAAGCACTTTGCATATCTTGATAAGATAGAACAGCGCTATGCAAGTACAGTCTATTTACCATTTACCTGATCTTCATCACATCACCCAGTCAGTGGCAATGTTGAACAGGAGAGCCGACATCACACAGCCTCGTCTTACTCCAATCTTTTTTTGGAAATTGTAGTTGCTGTTTCCTACTTTGCAAACTAAATTGTTGTGAAAGCTCTTGATAATAAGGATAATCCGTCCACGGGACCTGACTCCACCTTGTTAGATTTATCTACCTGGATTATTGAGCATGCATCAGGATGCATCTGTATGTGCAGAGTATGCACCAAAGGCTGTCTCTGGACTCTGTTGAAAACTTTTTTGAAGTCCATAAAGTTGATATAAATCTGTCCCTGCCATGCGCTGCTCAATGATGTTCCACAGTATAAAGGTCTGGTCTTTTTCAGAAGCTTGCTTTGTTGAGCACTAGAAGTTTAGCAGCATCATAATTGCCTTCTCACTGAAGGTTGCTAAATTGTTGTGACCAATCCAGGTTCTAAAAGTCCATGCTGGTCACATGTAGCATAGCGGGGGTCATCATCCAATGCGAAGAGGGCTTTACAGAAAAAAGCTAAAGCTTTCCTGCTCATTCAAGTTTGCATGAACACGAAGCTGAAGCTGCTCTAATCATACATATTTAAACTTTAACAATAATTATTTGTCCTAAGTTTTTCATTACATAGACTATTATATTTGCTGGCCCAAGGCCTCAGGTTCATATAATGAACAAAATGCTTGTTTCCAAACGGCCCTCTGCAGGGTGCCGCCATGTTGCCTCCTAATGCCAAAGCTGTGCCAAGATGAGCTGCAGGGCGATCTGTGCTTACAGCAACGGGACTGAAGTGACAGACAGACAGTAGAGTATGTTTGTTTGCTCAGTACAACACTAGCCACCTCTAGCTTACCTCAGAACAACTGTGTGTCAAGAATGATCTACAGCCTAGCTGTCAGAAATCACTGACAGCAGCTGGTACTGTGACACGCTGATACAGACAGTGTTATGTAGCAGTTATGGCAGCAGGTTTTGCCCTGTCTTATTAGTGTGCACTTTACCTCAAACACTTCTTTTGTCTGGCTTTGGACAGGAATCCCCAAAGCTGCTACAGTTTCTTATTAATACTCTCCTCTCTATCTGCTTTTATCTGACAAGGGAAAACTGTAACAATAATAAAAGTGTACACAATCTGTGCGATGTCTGTTGATTTTCATTTTAGTTTTTTGTTTTGCTTTAGCTGTTGGAAGAGGAAAAGACTGAAACAACCTACAGACTAACTGAAGTTAAATTAGCAGTAATTACAGCCATTGAATTAAAAGTTAATCACTTGAACTTTTCATTTGAGATATTCTTCAATAACGTCCATGTCACCATTTCATTTTATCAGTGCCAGTAATTATGTCCCGAGAACCCCCCTCTCCCGCCAGTGTCCATCCCCTTTTTAAAAATAAAGTGTAGACCGC